CTTTTCCAGAGAACCACAAAAATCTGTTCTATGGATACAGTGGATGCTGAATTAGCCAGTCTCAAAGGTACCTGATTGAGGCGCAGATATCCAATTCAGTTTATAGACAAGTATAGTAAACGTCTACTTCCTAAAATGACTCAGCAGTTAGCATATAAAGGCCTGTTTTCATTTCCTTGCCATTTAAGGGCGATAACATTCTGAATACCATCAAGAGACGCCTTCTCAATGCCATTAAAAGGACTCATTATGCTGCCGAACTCATAATCTGCAATCGAATGAAGCCCCTACCAATTCCTTTTGCGAAGGATGCACGCCATTTCAAACTGTGTTTACGCATTAACATGCACTTGCGGATGCGAGTACATAGGGTAGACGCAACGGAAGTTGGCCGCCAGAGCTAAGGAGCTACCTTGCTACCTAGCTGGTTAATGAAACAAGAAAACAGAATTCCAGAACAGAACAGAACAGATTACTGAACATCTGCTAGACACGGACCATTCTGTTGACCCCAAATCTTCTTTCCGAGTACTTTTTCGGGCACGTACAACTCGTACCTTACGCTACCTGGAGGCAGCCTACATACGGTGGTTCATACCCGAGCTATGCAAACAGCTGGAGCATGTAGTGAACCTAACTCTGCCGTGGTAACATTGGCTCCCTGTTTACACATTCCCCTCCCAACTTTTAACCTTAGACGTCTTTCCCCGTTTTTGCTGCCCATAGCGTCTTAACTTTCCTATGTTATTGATTAGCTTCTGCCATTTCGTATGACTTTATTGTTTGTATCGATTTTTCTGAATGAGTTTGTATTTTTTTACGTGATTCACCTTACGCAATGAGAGGCAGCAACTGAAGAGCTTTTTTCGAAATGTCATGGATCCAATAAATCTTGCTGTTTTTGCCATCTTTAGATTTGACTTAGAACCTTACTCCTGAAAAGTCCAGATTCAAGTCCCAGGGTATGCAAGACGTAGGCTTGGATATGTTTGGCTGGTGATGACCGACAATCTTGCATTGTTCATTCTTCTTTAAGTATACCGCTAGTCCTTTTACTAGTCATTGAAGTTTGTAACCCTCTTGCTTTGGGTAGGGCAGGGAAAACTCTACTTTCTGTTGGCTTTCAGACATCTAACCCCGTTCTAGAAATGAATGTTCCTACCAAGCACTGAATCTTGCAGGTGAATGCAGCTTCTTCACAAGAACTTGTCCCATGCGATGCACGACAGGAGCGAAATTAGAAACTCGCGCTTAAAATGGTACCTGTCTCATGTTCCGGGAAATGTTTTGGGACGGCACAGAACATGAGTCAACATTCTTGCCGTCCTGAGGTCAAGATAATAAAGAAAGCCCACACGCCAAGGGACACATGCACAAAGGTTTAAGCGCGCGCGTAACAGCGCCGCCACATGTCA